CTCCAGACAGGGAGACTCCAGGGCCTCCTTTGGCAGCCTGTTCCAGCGCCCTCCTCAACATAAAGAAGTTCTTCCTCATGTTGAGGCGAAACTTCCTCTGACAAAAAAATGGCTCACCCTTCTGTCACAAAGTTAGGAAAGCAGTTGTTAAAGTCATTTTTGTTCTCTGTGCAATTTTTGATGGGCAAATAGGCTGAATAGACTTCTTAAATGGTAATGATTTTGAATGGCAAAATTAGGCACAACCAGTTCCATTAGCTCATGGCAGATGTACAAGCATAGCAGCAGTTATTAACACAAAGTAATGGATTATTGAACTTTTTGCTTGTGAAGGAAAACATAGGGTTCCCCCTTAAAAGCATTTTGGTTGCATTAATAAAAAACTTCCAATTGGCGGAAAGAGGATGGATTGCTAAGCATCTTGGGTTCAAGTATGTGTGTAACTCAATGTCACAAATTAGCTGGTTTAGGATTGTGTTTCATATTGAACTCAGTGATCTTTGAAACACTTGAGGACTTTCAGGTTTGTCACTTTGAATTACATTAAAAAATAAATTATGTTTATTCCACACACATGCAAAGATTTGTTTTTTCATGGTTTTAATTCCTTTTGCATTAATGATGCTATATTTGGATGAGAAATTAATGGGATGAACAAACATATTTCACATCAGTCCAGCAAAGCTATGCAAATTTTGCGCACACAAATATGACTTCCAACCAAAAAAATATTATTTACTTTTTACTAGCCTATATACCTCTAAAACAACTGGCAGAACATCAGATTCACATAACTGGTGCAACTCTCGTTGCATGTTAAGCATGATTTGTGACTAGAATATTGTTTTGCAATAGTAAATGTTGTCCCAAGGCCAATGAGATGTCAGCCTCCAAATTCCATTCCCCTGTTGAGCATACTATTTGTCTAAGATTATTTAACTCTGCTTTGTTTGATATTGATCTGTAGCACTAACATAGGCAAACTTCAAAGTCTGAATTATTGGAGAAGTTTAAGTACTTATAAAGGAAAAAATATTTGCTTGTTTTTTACTGCATTGATATGTTTGCTAATAAATTTTGTTACAAAACCTGACTTCTTTTTCATTCTTTTATTTCTAGTAAAAAAAAACAAAGAGCAAAAAAAACAAAATCCCAAAACCTGGGCTTAGAAAGGATTACATGTGATATTGATAACATTTCCTGGAAATGGAAAAACTGCGATAACAGCTGCTGTGTTGGCTCATTTTCAGCTGGGTTTTTTGGTTTGTTTGGTTTCGGCTTTTGTTGGGTTGTTGGTTCTTTTTTTTTTTTTTTATTCCAGCAATTTGCAAGTAGTTGCTTACTATCTCTAGTAAGCTTACATCATTAGTAAAACATCATTTCCATGTTTCCTGTCCAATCAGAACACTTCCTCTACTTGCTGACTTGTTGACTTTCTGAATAGCATTTATAGTAAGAGCTCTTTCATTTCACTATAAATGCTTATTTGTAAAATAACTAAAAACTGGCTGCATATGGAAGATAACTATAGGAAGAATCTATATTTTATGCTAAAGCAAATTGCCTCCAATGAAAATTAAGAAAATCTTTCTAGGACATGATGAGCTGAAATGTCTCTATATTAGTATTCTTTTTAAATTCTAAGCATACATGCCTTCTTGGATTGAAATATTCTTCTGCAATCTCTGCAGTACTGTAGCATTGGAAAGTGATAAACACTCAGCACTAGTGATGAAAAATAGAAGGAAGAGCCAAGTAAAGCAAGAGACAAGGAACTCAAGTGTTGATAGTATCAAAAAATATATCTGGGCTAATTCAAAGATTTGGCCTTCTCAGGTTATATTAATACATTCAGCCTTAATGTTTTAAAGTGCTTTGAAATGTATGTGTTAATTTCAGTTTTTAAAATTATGTTTCATGATTTCAAATCAGACTGTTAATGAAATTCTATTACTTTTCCAGCAAAATTTGTGCTTTTTCCCTGGAATAAGATTAAGCTTCCAAAGGCAGTGTTATATGTGTGGTAATCTGTTACTACACCAAAAGTTTAGATTTTTTTTTGTATCAAAACAGATAATAATTCTCCCTATAACATTTGTAACTCCAGCAAGTACTCCTTCATGAAACAGATGTTCATATTTAAGGAGTAGCACTCTCCTCCATCACATTTGAAATGGCTGGTGAAATTCCCTACCAGCCCAAGGGGATTTCTGCACCCTTTCCCATTCTTGGATCACTCAGTGCTGAGCAACTGGAGGTGTTCCACCCTGAGCAACATGATCTAGCTTTGGAAATGAGGCTGATTTAGAGCAGAGCATTTGGACCAGATGACTCCAGAGGTTCCTTCCAACACAAAGTACTCTGCAAGCTCTCTAGCTTTGGGACCAGTCTACCTGAGGCCAGTTTGCACTTTGTGTGTACGTAATCTAGCCTTATCCTAAAGAACATTTAAAACTGATGTTCACATTGCTCTGAGCCTTCACAAAGGGAACATGGGGTTCTCTGTCTGGGTTAGTAGCAACCACAAGTTACGACCTCCTGGTGTCTCTTCCTTGCCCTGCCTGAGTGAAATGAACTGGAAATGCCCCACTGTTTCTTAGCAGACAGGAGGGGTTTAGACTCTTACCCTCTGACTTCTCACAGACTTTCAATTAAATGAACAGGGAGACTGAACTACCTCATTCTTCCTGGAGCTGACAATTTCCAAGCAGAGTTCTGAGTCACAGTGATAGGAGTGGTGCAAAGGAGCCTTCCTCTCTCCCCACACTGACTCATCAGGGCTTTCATTTCCCACTCCAGTCAGGAAGCCAACACATTCTATGACAATTAAATTTATCCTAACAAGAAGACTTTGGAAGCTTAATTAAGCTCTGAACTGTGCCTGAGTAGTGAACTTACATGATGTGAACCCTGACATGGATGCATGTCAGTCTGTAGCTGAAATCAGCTTCCATTTATTTCTTGGTATTGGTGATGACTCCTGGAAGGAAAGAAAGCCCTGAAATTTTCCTCAAAAAATTTTAATGCTAGTTTGTACCGCTTAATTGCATTTTGTTATGTGACAGGCTCAATCACATTGCAGCTGGGATTTTTGTTTTGAAGTAGCATTCAGATCAGCATGTTGCATTCCTGTAGTCATTCTAATTGCTGAAAATACATGCTAGTTTGACTAGGGTCAACTAAGCCACTTAAAATGGATTTTTGCCATAGTTATATTTTACCATAAATAGTACTTTAATTGTCAACAATAAAAGTCGAGAATCATGGTTTGTGACTCATACTTTCCTTAGAAGTCACTTTTCTTACCTTTCAGTATCTCTGTTTTTCAAGACTCAAAAGGAAGGAATGATGCCTGTCTTTCCAAGGAGTTTTATTGTTTTGTGTACCAAAAAAAAAAAAAAAAAAAAAGCCCACTCCAAACTGTTATACCAGAGCTCTTTGTTAACTAGTAGCACTTCAAAAACTTCTGCTAAGAATCAATTGTTCCAAGACAAGCTGAAGTACACAAGTGTGACTATATACACTTAAAATCAGTAAAGAAACACTTTCTTCAGTAAAGCACAAAGGAATTACATTTGACTTACAATTTGATTAAAAATGTCCTCTAAACAGGGAACATGGGGCTGTCTACACAGTCACTTCAGAAATTTCTTTTAAATGTTTTTTCAATACTAAGCATTCCTCAGATATTTAACATTTGTGGAAAATCTAATATCCCAAGATCTGTGACATCCATGCAATAACAGGTGTATGAAAACCCTGCCCTTAATTTGTGTAAAGCAGAACCTTTGGAACAATCATCACCAGGAGCAAGCTCTTGTGTCTGTGAAATACTTACAAGCAACATATTTAGGAGATTAAAAACTCCTCTTTTTGAGATTTGGCTTGCCTTGAAGTGAAATCTAATAAACTAAAGGAATGTCTTGGGCACTTTCAGGTGCTAACAAATGTCTAGAATTAAGAATAGATCTGAGTGAGCTCTGAAGGTTGGTTTATCTTTCTTGTCCACTCCAGGATGCCCAAACTGCCATATCAGGGTTATAGAGCATAGAGAGAAACTTGCTCATCCTTCTTTAAAGCAGTAATATTTTATGTTTGTAGCATTGCCCTAGTGAAATTTTAAAATGAAATGACATGAAATACAAATAACACCAGAATTATCCCAAATCATGAATAGAAGCATGTCTAGACTCAAATACAAACCACCTTTTATAGCAAAATTCAAATCCTCCTCTGTTCCCTGCCAAAGGCTGAGATCAGTCCCTGAGGGCCTGAGCAGGGTTTCCCTGGCTACAGCAGCTGGCACTGGCAGGGCACAGGGAGTGCCGCTCCTGGCCTTGGTGTGCCGCTGATTACATCAGCTAACACAGGTCTCGACAGGTGCAGGGACTTTCACTTCACTTTAAGCACCATTAAACCTTTGGTGCATGATTTGGGAGATTGGGAACTAACTTTTTGATCCAGGAAGGGCTGGGATCAGGGATCCTGATTGTAATCCTGTAGATCTGCCAGTAATCCTTCAATGCATTTCTTCTAAACATAGAAATAACATTTGTTCTGAAATGAGTTCTTGGTGCATACTGAATTTGCCAGACGTTTCACTTTGAGTCAAAGATATGACAAATGTGCTTCCTAGCATTTTCATGTTGATTTATTCTTCCTCATAAAGGACAACTTCATGAAAAGTTTGAACCAGATCCATGTTCACACTTTACATATGCAACATTTTTGTGGCTGACAAAGCTGGCTTCTCAGGCAAACTAACTTGGAAATAAAGTCAAACCAGAGAAGGGCTTGCTGAGACCCTTATACTTCAATGGCTATTTTTTTCCAACTAATCATTATTATTACAAGTAGATATTTACCCTTAGGTTCATTGGACAGATCATTCTGACTCATGCATTTAATGGATGTTGTCCTCTTGGGCTAATGCATTTAATATTTGCATGAAAGCTTTGCTAATTCATATAACTGCATAGGATAGCCATTTTAGTACTTACCAGGTGACATCAATGCTGACATAACCTTTCCAGTTTTGTTGGTTGTAGCTTGTGTCATGACACTGGTGTGAATTATGACAGTCTTGAGGATACAAACCTTCATAAAACACAGATGGTCTGCAGGAAAAAAAATTGTAATGATGGTCTACACATCACACATTCAGTCGTCCCTTGCAGACTATTTCCTTTATCATTGCCTCACACTCTTAGGTACCTTTTAATCAAGCATCTAAGACATAATTTTTTGTACAGACTATGTTCTATAATAAAGATTATAACATGCAATTCTGGAAAATACCTCTGCTCCCAGCATTATCGCAGCTTCTCATTGGCCTCCCCCAGACTTCCTTAGAAATGTATCACCATTACTTCCAGACAGCTGATTTTTTTTACTACTTCTTTGAAAGAACGATGAAAGCTGTGTAAGCTCATTAGCAGAGCATGTGTGTAGGCTTAAAATTACAGATAATAGACATATGGTTGGAAAGTCAGTAATTCCTTTACGTATTTGCCAAGACTTAGGTCAAGGTTCAGGGTTTCCTTTGCTCAAACTGGTGAAATCAGAAATACCTCCAGGTGTTCTGGGGAGGGCTTGCACTGCACATGCAAGACAGGTGATGAGGCACAGTTATCTCAGTTGCCGTCTGCAAGAGCATGTTTATTCTAAATTGCACCCAATTGTGATGTGCTTTTCTTTTTGTATAAGTCAATCCTTTTTCTAATAGTTCTTGGTGTTCTCTATGCAGTCTCATTTTGTGTTATTTGTAACATAACACTAAATTCATTGTAATAAATTTTGATGTCACAACCCTGGCATTTCATGTCAGTGAGATTAACAGTTAATGTATTGGAAAATATTTGTGTGCTTAAAAGTAATTATCATAAAAAATAAATTACCTCCTTCCCACTCAAGAATCACAGTCCTCATATGCCACATCAGTATTTGTAAAACCATTTCATATAAAGTGACATAAATATGTGTAAAAAGTCAGATATTTTACAGAAAAATTCATCAAAAGGATGATTTTTGCCCAGGTTCACCAGCTGTTTCTTCATGATCATGGTTCTTCAGTTTTTGCTGTTAACAAAGCCACAAGTTTTAAACCCTGATCTTTGGGCTTAGATTTAGGAGAGGATGTGAGGATTGGAGCAGTTGTACATCTACACAGCATCAGCCTGGGGATCTAGAAGCAACAGTGAGGGCAAAATCTACCCTTGCCTTTGTGTTTGCCCTGTTTCAAATGTGAAAGGCCAGCTCTGCCGGAGGAGCTGCATTGTCCTGACAAATGGGTCTTTCTCTGGCTGAGTGAGAGTGCTACTGATTGTTTGAGATGTTGGCATGGGCACATTGTCACCACTGCCCAGAGTGAGGCCACTGGCTGCTGCATGTGGGCAACCCTAGAGCAGTGTGACAGCTCCCCACTACACCAAACCTGGTCTGAGTACATTTTGCTCCTTCCAAATTATTTTCATACATGTATTGGAGTATATTTCAGATGCTTTTTCAGATACTTTTCAGAATATTATTTTAGAACCAAATGAAAACTATTTTCCTTCTTTAAATCTCTCAGCAACTTTGTAGGTAAAGTTATTTCTTATTGCTCTTGTTTTGTTATCACAGATGCTTATACTGATTTTTAAAGAATTATGATCTCTGTGCATGAGTGTGTATCACCCTTACTAGTCCATGTTAGACAAACCAGCACTAAATGCTCCTGTGTATGGGGACTGCAATAATTTGTCCTTTTGCATTGGCTTAATTTTACACATTTTTCAGGAAGCTGAAATTGAATGATGTTATACTCCATGTTATACTCCATAAAAATCTCTTTTAGCCAGGTTGCCTCTATGAGGAACAACATGAGTGTGTGAATATGATGACTAATGTGGAGCAATCCCAAACTAATATCTATTTACTATTTCAAACCATAACAAGTCTAGATTATTTTTTTAGAAAAGTGCTTATACATCTGACAGTAGAATTTTGTCTTAAATAAGCAGTGTTAAAGATAAAGAAGTAATGGTTTTAGAAGTGAACTGTGAAAGAGAGAATCTATATTCATCCTATATGAGAATGTGTTTCATTGTTTTCATTTAGTTTCATTGCAATTGACCAGCAATTGCAATTTTCTATGTCATTATTTTGAAGTGTAAGACAAAATTCAATTTAACTCTTCCCTTTTTATTTTTCTTTTTTTTTTTTTCTTTTATTAACCAGTTAATTTAGGTGATGGGATAGAATACGGCCAACAGAAACGTGAAAATATTGGAGTTCTCATCCAAGAGACACTGGAACTCTTTGAACGCTACGGTGGAGAAAATGCTTATATAAACATTAAATACATGATTCCTACTTATTGGTCGTGCATGTAAACTGAATTATATTAAATGGGATGATTCCATCTGTGCTCTGAAAAACTATCTGACTCTGTATGGCATCTTGTTAGTCATGCTTTATCTTCTCTACAGCTGCTAAAATAGTGGCTTCTGGGGCATTGGAGTGTTAGCACTATTGTGAACAAGGCTTTCCAATACATAAATAGTGTCTGTTCCTTTGATTACAATGGTGTACTGTGCTTGTTTGTTCCCTGAAAGAATCACTCCTTTATAACAGAGCTGACTCGACCAGGAATCTGAGTTAAACCTTCACTTGTGTAGACAATAAAACTATAATTTTCATACGCGATTCAGCAATCGCTGTTCTGTGTCCGCTTGCCCTGAGGGTGATGTCAGAGGCTGTAACAAGAAGAGTTTATGCTGACTGCTTAATAGGTGTTTGTCATGGAAGAGAAACACCAGTTCAGCAATGCCTCTCTGGCAGCTGTGCCGAATTATGTGCACTGACATACAATAAAACTGTTGAATGTATATACCAATTGCAGCAGGAAAATTTATATTTTCCATTATAAGGCACTGTAGTTAAATTAATCCAGGTTTCTTACACACTCCTGTTCTCAGCTTCCAGGTGTTTACTCATGGAACTTAGGTTCCTCTTGGTGAACATAAGGCACAAGCAAGCACAGTTTTGAAGAAAAGAAGCCCAGAAAAAAAAAAAAAAAAACTTGAATAAATCAGACAGAAGATACAGCATACAGAAGTATCAGCCCCTAGCGACACTGTTAATCTGGGTAAACACAGAATATACATGTACATTTTTAAAGGGAACTTGGTATTTTTGTAACTGCAAGGTTGCTATTGCTTTTCTCTTGTTATTATTATGGTGTGTATGTGTGCAAACAATGTAACTATTGTTATAGGAATCCCTTACAAATTCCTACTCAGTTAGTTTCTCCCTGTGTACCCATAACACAGAACTGATATAGTCATGGATTTAAGCAAAGCTATTGAGATTGGCTTTATTGCTTTTTAAGCATTTCTGTGGAATAAACCTACAAAAAAATTAAACTGGTCTTACAATTCTCAAAGACAACCATTTAAAATTATTGAGTCAGCTCAAAACAAATCAGAGAAATTAGCTTTGCCTAAAAACATGAGATTTTTTTTAAAGTACTTTGAAAGACTTTGGGCTCATCTGGCTTTTATTATGTTTTCTGGAGCTCTTCAAATGTATGCAAGTTGCACTTTCAAGTGTTTCAGTGTAACTGTTAAGAGCCTGAAATGCACTCTTTGGTGTTAAACACATGAGACTTTTTTCAAGTGCTTATCCATATCCATATTCACACCTTACAAGGCTTGCCCAAGTGAGAGACACAGCCCCTACGCTGTCCTGGTCTCTTGGATGCTTGCTGGAAGTGTGGGGAGCACCTTCCCACCTGCTGGAACTTAGAGCCATATCTGTCATTAGATTGACATTAGAACTTGCCTTTTTCTGTTCTGTGGCATCTTCAGCAGGAGGATTTTCTTTTACTTTCTTCTCTTGCCTGTGAATAAGAAAAAAAAAAAGAAGATTTTTACTCTTCCCACCTCTTTGAGGAGCTGCACCTTCAAGTGATGCCACCAGCCACAAGCACTCACCAGCCCCTGATTTGGGCATGGCTGCTGGAGGTGTGCCTTTCTCCCAGGCCCAGAGGCATTTCTTTACTGTTTGTTGTTGTTGTTGTTCCTGAGTTTTGTTTGACACAATTTTTCCAAGGCTACCCTCAAGTCCCTAGAGTTGCCCAACATACACCTGTGATGGGTAAGTACATCCAAAACTTTGCCTCATATCTAGGGCATCGACAAATCTTTCACCTTCTGGGAGAAAGGGAGGTGAAGCCTGGCTGTAGGCCCATGCCTCTGGAGACTCCAGAGCTTTGTCTTCAAACCTTGCAGCACAGAGGCTAGCTGGATAATGCAGGGGGGCACAGGCCATGTCTCCTCTTCCAAAAGTGCCTTTCTACACAGCCACCCTGGCAGTATCCACTCAGCCTTTGCTTAGAGCTTCTCCCCATTTGCCTTGCATTGTCCCTGGCACCACTGAGCCATACTTTTTCATTGACTGACATCTATGGAGTTGGTAACTGTGACATTGCAGGTTTCCCATGAGTACAGACTGTGCTGGAAAACTGCAGCTCACAGGGAGCTGAGTTATTCAGCTCGGAAATAAACCAAGCCCTTCATAAAAGGAGAATTCCCAGGCCACCTTTCACTCCTCAGCTATTTGTATTCTTTCCTTAAGAAAAAGTCCAGTTCTGCTCTTTGCCTGAGATCAAAAAGCTCCTCAATAGCTGGCTTCAGTTTCCCTGATGCTGGGCTCCAGCCACAGAGCCCCTCGCAGGAGAGACTGTGCGGGAAAGGGCTCTCAGCCCTGGGTTTTCCCCATCCCATCGCTCCTCTGCATTCCCAACAGCTCTGCTGGGGATGAGAAGTTTCAGGCTCTTCACCAGCCTTTGTAATTCTTTTCCCCAGCCCCCTCTTTTTGCATCCCCTCCCCTTCAGCTCAGCTAGGACAAGTCTGCTGGCTGACAAAGCGACACCATGGAAAATGGGCACTTCGTGAGGCTGCAGACTTGCCCGGGCCTGATGCCCTCAGCTTTGCACTCTTTCTTGAAGATTTCTTTCACAAGACATAGGTTCAACAAGGGGTGACCTTATAGCAAACCATAAGGGCAATAGAGGTCATGCATATTCACATCAGGAAAAATAAGTTTTATAGAAAAGTGCTTTTATTTGCATGTTCAGGATGAGAACATTAGCCTCCATCAATACAATTCCTATGTCTGGTCCATTGATTTAAAAGTGAACATTCTCCCATAACCTTATTACTTCTAGGAGCTGGACTGATAAAAAGAAGCATGATAAGCCCCACAAGTTGGTAATTTAGAAACACTAAGAATAAAACTATTTTAAGATGTAATTTTACTAAGTCAAACTGTAGGCCTCCCAACTTGACAGTGTCCCTTTAAGCATGATCAGCAACATATTTATAGGCAATTACTGCACAGCTCAGAGCACTTTATAAAGCACAAGATCAAGGACTCAGGTGCTTAAGCATACAAGTAATAGTATGTCATTAAATACACTGCTTAGTTATCTTACCACACTGAAAAAAAAATATGGTTAAGAAATAGTAACTGCCTCTTGTTTGGCCATATCATGTAATTGTGGTCACTAATGTGGTCACTAGGGGCAAGCCAATCAAGAATTTTTAATTGTAATCAATCAGAAGGTACTCTGGGCCAGGTGTTTCAAGGGGTATAAATGAAGTGTCAAAGCACTGAGCCTAATTTGGCTCAACAGAAGAGGGGTGTTTTGTGCCTTACTCTGGAGTCTTCTGCTGCTTTTTAGCTCTCCAGTCCTGGTAAGGAAAGGAGCACCAGTGAATGAATGTGTGGGAAGTTAAGTTGTAAGGCTGTTTTTCTGAAACCACCGTTTGAAATATCTCCAGTTTATCTTAATAATTGTGTTAGGTTGGCTGGCATCTCTTTAACTTGAAGAAGAAAAAAGCATGTGGCAACATTAGGGGGAAAAATGTACCTTGGGCTAAATTTGTCATGCATGATCATGAAAACAAGCATTAAATAAAATATTTTTTTGATGATTCCTCCCCAAAGCTGTGTAAGGGAGCTCTGTGACAGGTGTCAGTGTTCAGGGATCTCTGGCACTTTGTGAATGCTGGCAGGTGCCACAGAGCCACTGATGCCCTGAGCACTCTGAGGTGCCCCCGTGAAGGTGAGCAGGGGCAGGGGTGGCTGGGGCTGCCCCTGGGCTCCTGCAGAGGGGCAGAGCCTGGCAGAGGATGGAGCAAGCTGCTGCCAGCACTGGTGGCAGGCAGCCCGAGCCAGGCTTCTCACTGGTAGCTTTCCAGTGTTTCAAAGAGAGGGAGCTGCCAAAAAAGTTTGAAAAGAGCCTCCCAGGAGTCAGATACAAAAGGGCTGTGGGAAGTTGTAAGCGGGAAGGGAGGTATGGGACCCTAGCTGTGAGGGTGTTTGCGTGTGGGGTGCACGGAGGTGTAGCTGCAGCCAAGCAGGGCAAAAATAAAATGTCAGAGCAGACACTATGTGCTTTCCTAATCCTGTCTGGAGACCCTCTGACTTCCAGAAGAGCTTTCTCCAGTCTGAGAGGCTCTGCAGGCAGTGGGGCACATCACATTTTTCCACTCATCTGTAACATCCTGTGTTTTCTGCCTTAAATAAAAGCAGTGATGTTTGTGGGAACTCCATATAAAGCCTGTCTGCTTGCAACCTCTCAGAGCTGCTTTGTGCCTCCTGGAGACCGGGAGAGGAAGGTTTATGCCCTGGCAGGACAAGAAGTTCCCTGCACTGGCCCCATAATCCTTCCGGCATGTGAGGGGAGGGAAGGGGAGTGTGTGTGGTGGGGCATATCTTAGCTGCTCTTGTTCTTGCCTAGCAAATCCAGCCTGGCTATGGCTGTGGGGCTCCTTGCTGAGAGCTCTCCCCTCCTTGGACAGCCCGTGGTGGCTTCTGGTGAGGTGGGTGGAAGCCAGTATGAGCAGAGACATCAAACTGCAGCCTCAGAGAGGAAAAACTATGTTTATTGCAGAGCAGAGAGTCAGCTTTGTGCTTCATGACCCATTTGTGATGCCACAAATCCACAAATACTTTATTTTTTACTGATGCCACTCAGGAGTTGAGCAGCTCTCACAAGCCCCAGCTCACAACCCCCTGTGCTCTGGGCGTGTGTGCAGCAGGACAGGGTCGCTGTGCCCAGGAGTGGGTGACACTGCTCCACTCTCTGGGCTTCCCCATCAGCAGCAGAAGCACCTAATCTTGGCCACCCTGCTGTGGCACTTTCCAACCAGAAAAGTGCCCCAAGTCCCCTTCCTCAAGGGGCAAAGGAGAGGCTGCTCAGAGTTTATTTTTCTTTTTGGCCAACAGAGCCCCTCGCATAGAGCAAAAGCCTTAAGCTACAGAAGAATGGGTGATAGGTGCCTTCATGGACGAGAAAGCTGAGGGCACAGCCATGTTGGTAAGGCTGTCAGAAGGGGCATTTTTGGGACCACGCTTTCTCTGCTGCTGTGGGTACCCATGCACAGGGGCCTTCTGCATTTTCTGTGGTCTGGTGACCCTGGCTGCTGGGGGCATGGGGTGTGAGGGGATGAAATGGGAACTAATCCTAGGGCTTTCCAAATACTGAAAGAAGTTAAATCCTTGCCTCCTTACTCTGCCCTGGTCAAGGTGGATTAATGCATAGAGGTAGTAGAAAGAAAGGGAGGACCTAAAGAGAGCACCATAGTGTTGGGTCGTGTATGACATACCCTTAGTTTATTAAATGGTCTCAGCAATCCAAACTTCCTCTGTTCATCTGCATCAGCACAATGCCTTTGGAAAAAAATAAAATCAGAGGTTAAGGTTGTTGGAGGGCAGAATGGGATCAGCTATATACCAGCTTGCTCTGCAGCAGTGGGAACATGTTGCTTGTGTTATGCACCGCTTCTGTAGCCATGTGATGCACAAATTAATTTAGCCTGCCATACTTCACGTGACTGCCGTTAATTGGATAGATGATTTTGGTAGCATACCCCTCTGCAATAAATGTTGCAGCTACTGCAGCTCTGTGCCTGCCACAGGGTTGTTCTGATCTTGCATGAAATCACATTGCTCTCTGATATGGGTTTAGTGATAAAAGAAACACAGTGTACAAGCTCCTCAAAACACAAAAGATTAAAAGAAATCTCAAGGAAGTCTCCACATCACAAACACAGCCTGTCAACGACATGTATAGCAGTGTTGGATGATGAAGCCTGCTGGGTATAGGCAGGAAAAATTAATGTCTGACATAAACCATCTACCTTGTATTGCACATTATTGCATTAATCAGGGACCTGGCTTTGAATGTGTGGTCCATCCAGTTTTGTATCAAATTTCAGTTTCTGCTTTCTGGGTGTAATTCCTAAGCCCTTCCCTAAGGAGCAATTACAGAAAAGCAGCTTGGCTTACCTAATTCTCACCCTAGAAGCAGAGAATGATATCCCAGCATCTGGCCATCTCCATCTTGTGCATTAGCCTCATTACTTCATTTTCATGTGTTTTTGCTTCCCGCTTCTCCTGGGTCCCTGTGGTGCTGTGCTGAGCTGGAAGAGATGCTGAGGGATCTGTGTGAGTAGGGGGGAAGCTGATGAGAAGAGACCAGGAGTGAGCAGCTATTCCGGCAAAGGCTTTTCCTTGACAGTTTATGATTTGGAAAATGTGAGTTTTGGGGAACTTGCGTCTCTTTCTCCCAATATGTTGCAGCATTATGGAGGAAGGGAATGGAGGAGGCCTTATTGCAGAGATGATTTGCCTCAGCTACTGCCCAGGGAGCAGCTCTGTGGTGGGAAGCATTAATGCTGCTGCAGGTGGGTGACAGGAATGGGAGCAAATGGTGGGAAGCTCTTGGCTTCTCACCATTTGCTCTCATTGTGAGCACTTAAGGGCTGCATTTGTTGAACTTTTGGGGCCTCTGCAGCTGCACATCACCACCCCCTGCATCTCCAGGCCACCATTTGCTCCCCAGTGACAACCTGGGTTCTTTTTGTGACTGAGAGTTTTCTGGGTTTTCTGTGGCAGAGCCTTCCTAGGCTCTGCTCTTGAGGAGGGGCACACAGGTGCCACACTGCTGTGATATGAGCCAGCCTGAGATTTCTCCCCTTACTTCCTATGTGACTTCCAAGGTCTGCTTGGAGCTGCTGATGCTGCTGGAAGGGCAGCACACATTCAACAGCCATATTCTCCTGCAGGCACTGCCATCTCTGCCCCAGTGTACTTTGTGACAATATCCTGCCTTGCTGGATGGGATATTGTCGCATCAAAGCTAGGGTATCACTCTAAAGCTAGGCATCGTGGAGCTGATCCTTGCTCCTCCAGTGGCCCAACCTGCTGAGCCTCTTTTCCTTTTTCCTGCATGGGCTGTTGTTGGTGTTTTCCCAGGCTGGAGCAAGCCTCTTCCCCACACATGGCAAGCAATAGACTCTGAGGGGGGTGGTCTTCAATTCCCCACCTCTTTGGAAAGCAACTAAATTCTAACAGGGCTAAGGGGTGGGTGAAGAATAGACTCTAGAAGAAATAGTACTTTAAACTATACCCTAAGCCCAAAGATAAACCCCAAGCCTCCTTCAAAATGCTGTTAGTACAGGGAGGGGAAATACCTGGAAGCTCTTGTTCAGCCCCACATTTCACAGTGTGAATTATTCTTCAGCTATTAAGTGGAAGAACTTCATGCCTAACACTTTTTTTACTAGCACTGAATCATCTATGTCTCTTACAAAGGAAGAAATTGCTACTGCACTGCCTCAAGAATCAAAGTAAAAGGAACATCTGCTCTAAACTTCTTGCATCTGATTATTGCTTGCTATGCATTATTACTTACAGTAGTAATGTGACTAAATTAAAGCTTTCTTCTCTTGTGTGTGCTTTTATGCATTGCTTTGGTATAAAATGTGTGGCTTGCTTCAAATCAACCTACAGCTAAAACTATGTCCGCATAGAACTGAGCCCACATGTACTTAGATGCAATTAAGGGCACAATTGGAGCATTCTGAAAGATTGCCTTTAAAAGGCCTTTTGTTCACTCCCCCATAGGGGCTGGGTGTTATAAGCACGTTAAAATGCAACAGTAAGGGGAAAAAGAAAAAAACCCTCTGTGAGGAATTCTATAGAGGCACAGCTATGTTTTCTGTAGCTTGGCAGCTGTCTGTATCCAAAGGCTGGGGAATGACTCGTGTTGTGAGGGTGATGATAGTTTTGATAGGAATCCCCCGCATCACAAGAATGTTCCTAATGAAGGAGGAAAAGCCCACCAGAAACATTCCAGGGCTGTGAACCTGCAGGCAGCCAAAGCCAGCATCCAAGCTGCTCTGCACAGACAGCAGCAGCAAATCCAGCTGCTGCTGCAGAACAAAGAGTTAGTGGTTATTTTTCTTTTCCTGCCTTTCTGAAGTGTGTGCAGTCTTACCAGTGAGCTTAATTGATTGAAAAAAAATCTGGAAAATAAAGCTCTTGAACTTGCATGCCTAGAAACCTACCAGCGTCACGTGCATAGCAAAGGCCACGTAGCTGACAAAATACCACAACATTTCACAAAGGAGGTTTAAGAGCTCCAGTTGAATAAAGCTTTCTCTGTGAAATATTGTTATGGATCTACAAAGCAGTTAAACCCTCCTTGGGAAAAAAAGTGCCCATCTCTCACAGTGTAGTGGCAGCAGTGTAACTACCACTGAGGCCTCATTAATAAGGTTTTTCTTCTTTATCAGTAGTAGGAAAAAAATTCTGTGATGAGGATTTATTTAAGTTAGTAAATTCTGACCATTTGCTTCTAAATTCTACATACATGTGTGTGTGGATATATATACACATACATACATATAAAAATCTGTGTAACAGTGTTCTGGCCTTCTTTAAGGGATGGATCCTCTTACTTAAATCCAGTAATGAAAATAACAGAGTCTAAATTAACTTGATAAGACTGTTTTCTATCAATAATTTTACTACTTCCATAGAGCAGGATTGATTTTTGTGGTCTGTGTTATTGCAGCTTTTAATTTTAAGACAGCCTTGGTACCACATGAAGTGGGAAAAATGGGCAGTTGCAAACTCTACAGCGTTTTTTCATACATATTACAATGGCCTGCATTTTTTTTTCTTTTCAAAGAAAGAAAAATTATATTTCTTTGTTTTCAGTGGGTTTTTTTAAAATCTTTTACTCATTGTGCATATTTTAGCTCCTCGAGAAGATGGTTGCATTGGCTTTGCTCAACAGCTTTTCTTCAAATCCACGAATATTTTCAGCTCTTTATTACTATTGTGTAGGATTGCAGTGTATTTTCATGTCTCCCATATTGCTATAATTATGTTTGGGGAATGGAGATGGATGGTCTGCTGAGTGTGTGATTGGTTTCTCCACAGCCCTCACTCAGGGCTGTTTTCTATAATTTAATCAATAGAAGGCAGTTGTACAAACAGTAGTTTTTAATTTCCAATTTCTGTTTCAAGTTTCTCATGAAAATTTAAATGTTTGGGGTTTTTTGAATATACAAAGCAATTTCATTTGCTTTGGCTGAGACATTTTGTGGCAATTGTTTCCCATTCCCTCCTGTGAAACCATGGCACAGACTGCATGGTCCATGCCAACACATGCACCTGCCATCTTGAAGGCTTGGGGAAGCTACTCTTCCCTCACAAACATTCCAAAATAAACCTTGAAGGGCAGATGCTGCCCCTGAGGTGCAGAAATGTCTGCAGACTTTGCTGAGAGTAGGGTGAAATGAGCTGTGTGCTGCTTCCAGCTGGGAGCTGGGCTTGTGAACGAAGGATGGGAGATGCCCTCAAAGCCGTGCCCTCCAGGGAGATCAGTGAAAGGCCCTTTCCCAGTGCCATAGGGTGCATTCAGTGGCCACTTTGGCCAGCTGCGTGTGGCCCTGGTGGTGTTGGGCACCTGCAGAGCCTAGCCCTGCAGCACCCAGCAGCCTGGCCCTGGCAAAAGCAGATGCTTGCTGTGCCCAGTGTGCCCTGAGCTGCCAAAGTCTCTGCACATCTGCTTCCCTCCTGCCACAGCAGATGCTTGCTGCAGCTGGGAAAAGCAGCTGGTAATTGGCACCAGCCAGGCTTGGTGGCTGAGAGGAGGAGGATGAAGCAGCAGCAGCAGGGCAAGGGGTTGAACACAGTGATATTTTTTACAAGGGAGATGCCTGGGCTGCTTCCTTGCACTAGCTTTGCTCCAGGCAAGAACAGGAATAATGTGTGTGCTGCAAATACAGGGAGACCAGGAAAGAGCTGTGACTGCTCTCTTCTGATGCTCAGCAAAGGGCTGCTGTCTCTTATTCCTCAGTGGATGTGGTGGAGCATTATGGTGGGCAGGGCAGGCCAGCACAAGGCCTCTTCCTGGGGGGGTGGTGGCTCCCCAGGGTCAGCCAGCTGAAACCCAAAGTGCTGCTATTTCTGCTTTTAGCTGAGCAAACTGCAGTCACACAGAAAATGTGTGCTGGAGCAGAGGGTGAAACCCAGTCACTTGCTCTAACAAGTGCCGGTGCCATTCTGGTGCCAGCCCTCGCCTGGCCCCGGAGTCAGGGAGAGGGAAATGCGGAAGCAGGGCCCTGTGACTGCTCTGGTTTCAGTTCAGCACGGACAGAACTGGCTGGAGCTGCACAGAGCCACAGCTGCTGCTAAATATTGCCCGTTTGAGCCTTCAGGTTGGCCTTAATGCAGTCAAAGAGACTTTTCAGAGGAAAAAGAGGAGCAAGGAGCTGACTCTTGTGCTTACCTTAGACTTAATGTTGTTGCTGTACAGTGGGTTGCAGGGGGGTTTTCTCCAGTACATTTTTTCTTGTCCCCAAGCAGTGCTTTAGAAGGACCATATTTGCATGTAGCCATATTTCTGTGTTATTGCTCTGGGGTCTTTTCAATTGTATTCTCTGTGTCGCTTTGGTTCATGCAATTTTAATCTGTTTTACTCATTAGCTCTTAACCTGCAATTTTCTGTTTAAATTACTTTCTACAGAAAATGTCAGGAAGCTGGGGAGCTCTGTCTCTTACATGATGTTGTGATTTGATAAAAAAAAGTAGTGTGCACCTTTCTTTAAACACTGGCTAAGGTTAAAATCTGTGATTCTTATCTATTTGTTTAAGAACTTACACAAAACTGCTGCTATCAGACAATAATAAGAATCATGAAAACTCTATGAAAGGAATTTCTTTTTATTGTGAACTTTACACCTCTTCACTTATTTCAGTAAATGCCCAATAAAAGTGCAATAAATCCAGTACTGTAAATGCACACGGAGAGGGTTTGTACTTGAGGCTTTGCAGCTGCCTGGCTTTCCTGCTGCACACAGTACCCAGACTCCTGTGGTGCCTTCTGGGACCTTCCCAGCACAGGCTTGGAATAACCCAGCTTGCCTGCAGGATGTGCTGCCCACTTGATTCCATGCTTGAGAGAGGGGGGAAAATACCATAATCACAGAATCCAGCAGGGGCTGATGCCCAAGGCATGTGGGAAGGGAGTGGGGCAGGGACTGCACCCTGGGAGGGAGAGGGGAGGAAGGGAGTGAGGGCTGTGCTGCCTTGCCCACAGGAAGTGGCTGAGAGCTTTGGTGTGTGGTGCTCTGGTAAGCACCGCAGGTAAACCCACAGATAAGTGTAGAATTTGTGAAAGAAATTAAGTTGGAGGAGAAACAGGACCCAACTTTGTGTCAACAGCTGCTTTTACTGAAATAGGTAATAGCCTTTAAACTTGAATTTAACAGGGAGAGATGAAATTGTACTTTTATACCTTGCTCATTTTCCCCTATAAAACCCAATATAAATAGTACCAATGAGAAGGGAAAAACTCCAAACAAGCCAAGAGGTAAACTAAGGTAGAACCAAGCTGAAAATAACTCTCCTGTAAGACTCTCCTGTAACCTTACATCTGTGATATCCCCTTTCTGAGGGGAAAGATGTGATTGCACAGGCAAGGAGATGGTTGGAGCCACCTCAGCAACCCTTATGTCTGCAAGAGCAAATTTGTGCCAGTACCTTCCCAACAGGCCCAAAATGCTTCTGCCAAAATTTCCTGGATACAGGGACAGTTTTCCCTCCAGTCCCAGCTGGAAGAGTAGGCTCTCCTGAGCAAGATTAATAGGTCAACCCCCACATTTAAAATCTCATACAGGCACCCAAATGTGACTGCTTGCAGGCTTTGCTAGCTGAGCTGACAGTGTGTGTGAGGCAGGTGGGATGTACTGAAGAGATATCCCATTTGGATGTGGACATCCTCTGGCCAGCTAATGAGAGCTCAGCCCACAGTGCCATAAGATTTGCCCTTATAGCCAGAGACTGAGTCCAAGGCTGTTTTCTGAGATTTTTGTCTCTGGCCTCTGTTCTGGAAAAATGAAACTTACCCCTTAAGGTCAAAAGGCAGAGTCCTCTTCCTTTTCCTCTCTTGTGTTCTCCACTGCCTCACTCACCCTGATTTCTAGCTGTGTACTGGAGAGCAAAATCAGCCTTCCTAGCTGGTAACATTATTTAATTTATTTTTTTTAAACTCACTCCTATGTTTGTTTGAATTTTGATCATATTCTCCTGATCCCAATGATGACCTACTACTGCTGGCTGAGTCAATAATTCCAGCATCATTTTGGACACCAGAGAAGAGCAGTATGTGCTGCTGAAAAGGTAGCTGGTACATAGACCCTGTATGTTGGGCTTTGTCTCCCCATCTAATGGCCTACTTGGGCTCCAGGTGGAAATTTCTCCTGTGGGCAACTTCATGGTGCTAAAAGAGAAATATACAGCTGTTGTTTCAAGGGATGGATCCAAGCTGACCTGCATCTGGCAAAAATGTCCCAACAAATTATGCCTCAATGAATGGTCTCCCTGCCAGGCCACCGAGAGGCAGCAGAAATAAACTGGTCTCCCAGCAAGTGCTTCCTTAGATCTGGCACCTTGTCCCAGCCTGTCTCCTCCTCTTCTCTCTGTGATTTTTAGCTCAGCACAGCAGGGCATGTGCAGAAATCCCTCTGGGCAGGGACAGAGCCCTTACAAGCAGCAGAAATGGAGCTGAGATCCTCAGAAATTAAGGTTTGCTGGCAAACCTTAGGAAGGTGCACAGCATCACAGGAAGAAGCGCTCAGCATCAAAGGCTGATGGAGTGTGAGGAAGAAGGTGAAAAAAAACTAATGAGAAAAGGAGCAAATGTTCTAGAAGACCTGTAGTGTATGGGAGGCAAAAGGCAGCAGAGGAAGAAGGTCAAGGTGAAGAAGCAGCAGCAAAAGAAGGAGTAAGATGAAAATTAACTAAAGAGCAAAGAAAAATACATATCCCTGTAGTAGGTGGACATGGGTGACTGAGGAGGAGAGAAAACTCCTGTGCTTTCATTGCTGTAGCAGGAGGATGTGGCTGCTAGATCTGCTCAAACAGTACTTGGGAGCTGCCCACATGCTTCTCCAGGAGGCTCTGATCCTGAATATGTACTGTGGGACACCACAGTGCTGAAAAGACACTAAGTGCTTGCAGTTGTGATACAAGACAAATAGATACCTATTCCTGTGTAGTGAAGAGAATACTGCTTAAATATTTAATTGTGTTTCGGTTTACAGTAGTTTACTGGTATTGAAGCATCCAAAATATGCTCACAAAGTATCAGCATTTTAAAGTTATAAATTATTCTGGTTTATTTTCTTTTTTCCCCCCTCTAGACAAAAGCAATCCTTTGACAACAGGCTCCCTCGAACAATGCAGCCTGTGATAGTCTCATTACAAACTAACATCTTCTCTCACAAGATATTCTCTCACATGTTCAACCAAACTACTGAGAACGTAGTAATTGATCATTCATAGATGCAGACTGGTAGCTAACAGCATCCTCACTTACCTTCTCAGCACTGAGCACATTTAAAATAAATTCAGGATGTATGCATGCAGAAAACTCAATTGCAGCCGCATGGGAGATGAACCAAAAATGGAAGCATTCAAAGTGCTAGTGAAAAATCCAAATAATGACCCATAGTAGATGTCAGCCTGAGAGGATAACACACACCCTGCAATTACCTTAAAGGAACTCTGTCTGTGTGGTCCATAAGTACATGTAATTCTGAACAAGTAGGTGTACCATATAACTGGGTGCTGAAGCCAGGCAAGAAAGTTTCTCCCAGTGGGGCCTCAGGATTTCTGTGATGCTTCCTTTCCCAGACACATCTGGACTTCAGTCTCCATTGTATTACTGGTAAAGTAAGCCAGTGCAGCTACTGGATAGGATGCGTATGGTGGAAAGAAAGATGAAGGTGGGTATGCCACTGTTTATCTGCTGAGGCTGTCAGAGCTTCCAGGGTCCACTTCAACAGGGAAATATTTCAGAAGGCCATATTTTAAAAATATTTTTAAAAAATCAAACAGGTAAAAAAAGTCTGTTTACGCCTTGTGGATACCTTAGGGTGTGCTGGATGCTTCAAGTCACTGACATTTTGGAAACTAGCCCTTTAAATTTGTCGTGCCGGAGCTTCGATTGCTGTTTTGTGTGGGACAGCAGCACGTACACGGTGCTGGTGTGTTACATGTGCACAGCCCCAGGTGGCCAGGCAAAACAGGAGAGCTATTGCAAGCACTGCAGTGCATGGAAATGGCAATTTTATGGATAATACTATGTGGTGATTTATTAAAAGCTGTGATTCTCCAGCAGCTTTTATTGTATCATCATAAACCAACACTCCTGTATAGTGCATTAAGCTGGGTAATTCTGCTGGTTCTTCAGCGAGGCTGACAAAACTATTTGTAAGATTGCATAGGGTGGGCTGGTGAGCTCGAAGTGCCATCACTCTAAATGGATCAAGGGAGGAGAAAACGCCACGCGGTCAGCACAGTGTGGGCGATCTCCAGGCAAGGGAACCCACTAAGGAAAGGTAAATCCACTGTGTGCTACATTAGTCAGTGGCTTGCAAGCCTTGAGTGACTACTTGGACACCAGTGACAATAATGGCAGAACTTGTCACTCGGGGTTTGACCATTAGGGCAGGTAATTGGCCTCATTGGTCCCTGCCCATGCTCCCCTGCTAATTTGCTGCAGGGCATTTGGGTTGTAGCTTGACCTCTTTATGCTCTAGTTTTCTCTTCAATAGCATGTGAATATTAGATGTTTTGCTGAGGTGCTGTGATGCTCTGTTAAATGAGTGAACATGCATTAGACCCAGTGGGAATGGGGTGTGCAGCATTATTAGGATGTATACCGCTCTGTGTTTTCAGAAATGTTTAAATTCCACCTCTTAAATATCTTTTGCAAATGGAACTTGCAAAAAAGCAGGGCAAGCACTGCTAACACAGCTTTGCCACACACTGTCAAATGCTTATAAACTCTATTTATAGCTACAGTTAAAGATTCAGACATGCAAGCGCTCCATTAAAAGACCACATTAATGAGCCCTCAGAGAAAATATCTCACAAAGCCTTTTGAGCTTGTAACTGCTCAGTTGTTCAGGGCTCCTTTCTTGTTAACATTCATAAAATATAAATACTGTATACTAAACAGCAGCGCTTTGTGGATCACAATGGCTTATTTCCCCGGCAGCGCTGCAAGGTGCGAGGGCAGAGGCGCCGTGGCAGCGCTGGGTGGCCGAGCTCGGCCACAGGCTGCCAGGGTCACTCACCCACCGCCTTATCTGGGGGCTGCCCTTGCTCTGCAGAGCTGCCTGGCACATTGACTCCCAGCTCAGAGTCTGGGAGCATCATTTCAGGGGGAACAATCAAACCTATTAGCTGAGAGTGGCAGGGCTGGGCCTCCTCGCAGCCACAGCTCCGGAGCGTAGCGAGTATTTGGAGCAAAATCTAATAGGTAAAAATCACTGGAGAGTTTTTCCTTTTTCCTTCGACATAAGCTAGCTGATGGGAAGTGTCGTTTGAAAGAGAAAAAAGTTGCTACATTTGATTTGTCATTATTTCCCCATCGTCCCTTCCTGCCCATGATTATACAGTTCCCATTTTCTCTCCTTTGCCTCTCACAGAATTCCATATTTTAGGTTGTGACAGATGCTCTTGCTTAAATGTTTTTGATATATGTTTTATCTGAAACTGTTTTATCAAGTCTGCATTGTGCAAACAAAAATCCCTGGAGCCCATTTGAGAATAATTGTCTGTAACCTTTAATATTGCATTTCTATCCATCCACAAGTCACAAAGCACTTGAGCAGCAGAGAAGGCCATTTCTGTGTTTATATCTGGCTCTCAGCAAGCTGCAGAGGCTGAGGTAGGGCAAGATCAAGTAACTTCTTGGATGCTATTTTCTGGCACATGTTAGCAACCAGTCCATGTCCTTGTCTTTGTGTGTTTGGTCCCGTAGCCT